AAGGACAAAAGAAAAAAAGAAAGCAATCTAGAGAACTTACTCTTATTACCAAATAAGTCCTAATGCAGAACCATGTTCTCATGCAGAACCATGTTCTCTTGTCTGCTCTGTCTCTATGATTTGCTATTACTTGTATATAAGGCTTGTACAAACCTTTGAACAGAATAGCTAATAGGATCATACTGTGCATCAGAATTGTAGCTGTATATATCCATGGAATAGATAAGCACTAAAAAGATAAGCTCTTCTAGTGTTCAATTTTTCTGTTGAAGGTAGCTCCTCGGTCACTCAGGCCTGAAAACTTGGTGTCAAAATTGACTCCTCCATTTCCTCTTGCCCTCAGCATGAGGTTCCCAGTTCTTTAGATGCCACTAGGATTTATCCAATCAATGTTATTGTGACATAGTCCTTCATTTCTCAAAAATATTATAGCATAGCCTTCAACAAAGTTAGTCTTCTGTGACTTCTTTCTTTTCTGTCCTATACAGAGCTTCTAGCTTCACCATCCTTAAGTACTCTATCATTTCTTTGCACAAAATCCTTCGGCATCTCCTATAACTTATAGAAGCAAGTTCAAGCCACACAACTACTATTACTTAGACCTTATACTATAGACCTTATACTATACTTACATTGAATTGTTCAATATTCCCTACACATGCACAAAGTGGTTCCAAGCTTGTACCTCTGCTCATCTCTTCCCTCTTCAAAAGACATAAGGTCCAGAGAACAAGGACCATATTTGTCTGGTTCATTTTTATATTCTTGGAGCCTAGCATTGTATGCGGCACACAGTAGTTACATAGTAAATAATTGACTGAATAAAATTATCACATATCCAAATCTACTTACCTTTGAAATTTCAGTTCAAATGCCCCTCTTTCTATATTAGTCAGCTTTCCAAATATGAGACAATACCTGACACCCACAATTTAAAGGAAGAAAAGTTTAATTGGCTCATGTTGTTAATCTATGATCAGCTGGCTTTAAGGCAGAAGCATCATGGGGGAAGGATATGGAGCAAAGCTGCTCAATTTATGGCAGTTGGGAACCAGAGCAGGGGAAACAGAGAAGAATGGGCAAGGGACTATATATAATATCCAAGGCCATGGGTCTGTGACCCACTCAGACACAGCCAGGAATGTCCTTTACTGTTCTGCTAGGTGTTTCTTAATCCAATGGAATTGACATATAAGGATTAACAGTCATGACTTCCAAAAGTCTACATTGGTACTTGCATCCTGCCCCACCTATCTGAAAGTGAAGCTGGTTTGGTTTTTCAGAATTCTCAAAGGCCTTATCTATACCACTCTTATGACACTGATCAGTTTCTTTCTACCTAATATTATAACTCTGTATATATTTCTGACTAACTAAGGGGTCTTACAGGCAGGAGGTATGTCTAATTAAAAATTGGGTCCTCAAAAGGCAGTTTCCATTGAGTGGGTGCTAACTCACTAGAATAGTTACATTGGGGGTTGGGAATGGGAAGGCTTTAGCAACTTTGAAAAGATGAGGGTTTCATATAATTTATTATGCCTAATAACATCATGAGAGCTTTTATGCTTTGCTCATCAACATCAAAAGGTGAAAATTATGACTAACCTTGGTATGCCAACATATAGGTGAAAATATTATCTGAACTTTCTTTTTCTTTTTTCTCCTTAAATTCTTTTATTGGTACATTTTAGGTGTACAACACAATTACATTTCTCATTGGGAACTTGTACCTTTACATGATGCATCTTAGTTCTTATTTTTTCCCCATTCCTAGCCCTCCCTTCACGCCCTCCACCTTTCCCTATTTACAAAAACTTTATTTCCATTTCTCATCATTTTTGCTTTTCCTTCTTTCCTTTCCCCTGCCCCTCCCACTACCCCTACCCCTTTGGACCTTTTCTT